AATGTATAGGTAGAATGATTCAAGTAATACACATTGTTTTCTCACTGCAGGTATATAAAGAAGTTCTGCACGGTCTGTTTTCGCTCTCTCAGATAAACGCGTCCTTCTAAACCCAGTTCTCTGAATGAGTTAAGACAGAACCCATCCGGTCGTTTGTATATACGGCATCTAAATTGAGCTCCTTAAGCATCTCCACTTGAGATGCTTGTTGATACACTGATGACGGTCAGGGCATCCTGCCCGAAACATCGAGTCAACACCTCTCTGTTTTTTCTTAGAACCATTCTCTTTAAGAGGTAGTCACTCCACATGATGTATCATCAAAACCTCTATTGACCTCGTGAAGCGGGCAGCGATGGGTTAAAAATTGCCGGAAGTAAATTGAAGGTAGAACATGCTTATTAAAATTGGAAGCAATAATGATGGTGAATGTGAGTATGTGACGGCACAATTCATGTTAATAAGATGCGGCAGTTTGAGCCGAGAATATGAGCCAGGCACAGCGCTGTGTAATCAAGTCAATACACATCAATACAAGGTGCTAATTAATTCCACAAGTGTTGATGTAGATGCACCTTGCGTGGAGGTAGGTGTTGTTCATTTCCTCACGGACTCTGAGACAACTCTGCCTCATCAATTTCCTGGCGGTGCCCGCCGTCTTCTTTGGATGCGTTCACAATCCCTTTACCTCTCTCGCCCCAGCGAGCTATCGAGGCCAGACGGCCAGTCCCTAATTGATGAGGAGGATGTACTCTTGTTTGAGGTTGGCAACCAAGACACTAGTAGAGTTTTGTTTTCACACCCGGCACGCCTGGGCGAAAGAAAAGTGTAATTTCGCCAGGGACAAAGGCATCGTAGTGATTGAACATGATAAAGAACCTAATGTAAATATCAAACAGAGTATTAATAAAGAACATGAATAAGGCTGACTACAACGAACATCGTATGTTCCATGTCGGTTGTGTACGTGTGCAGGTTAAATAAAACTCAATTAAGAAAAAGAAAACGTTCAGCCTCTGTTTCTTGAAAAATGCAATTTTTATTTTGGCACTTTATATTTATCATTCTCTGATTCGTGCTATCATAATTGCATACGCCAATTTTACAAAAGAATTTTCAAATTCTTATCTACCTACTAACAGATGTATGACCATACTATTAAGTTGTATTATGTCGTTTGTATCTACTATCTTTGGATTTTTGTTTGCCGCTTGCGATTTAAATTGTAAGTCTACCATACGAAGCATTTGTCTAAATGCGGACTTATGATACATTTAATTATTACATTTTAAACCTGTTTGGCCTGTTTAACCTGATTAACAATTTTAACCTGTTTATTAACCTGTTCGATTGGTTTAACTTGTAAAACCAGTTTTACCCGTTTGTTGTTACATAACAGATATTTTCTTCGCAATTAATATCGTACCATACGAAGCAATTGTCTTAATGTAGACCGTAAATACACTAATTTTAACCTGTTTGGTGACCAGTTAACCTCAAAATCCTGTTGCACCGTGGGTTGCAATATTCAGTATTTCGGTTTAACTTTTTGATGTTCTCGAATATTTTTATCGACTAGCATGTCAGGTTCCGAGTTATCAAATCTAAATATAACTTTCACCGCACAGGTCGAGAAAATTTGTAGAGGAAAATATAGAGAATAGAAAAAAGCCGCTAGAGACGCAGCATTTTATTTCCTTCAGTGTCACTATCTAGGCCATGGGCGTGCGCCCCACAAGGAATTCAACATGTGCGACTTCACACGGGATATTCCCACAAAGCAGTCAGGCTATTTCGCCTCTATCTATATGGAGTATGGGACACACGTCTGTTTGGCTAGTTTTAAGTTACGCCTTACGTCAAACTGCGTCAAAAGACGGTAATATGTAGAGGATGTATGTGCTAAAACCGCTCTATCAAGTTCATTCAAATATTCCGTGGAGAGAAAAAAACTCCCGGAAAAAAATTGTCTCAAATGGATTTATGAATAATTGATTTTACGTCCGACCGACTTTCACTTTAATTAATTTCACTGTCTAAACATAACCCGAGCGTATGTCCTGCCAGGCAATCTATACTTATTGCTCTTCAACTATACGCTTGCATTAAATTGTTTGTTTTTCGTTGAAGAGCTTACAAAAACATGCTCAGAATAGGATTTTTTAATACTCGCTCGGAAAGAATAATTTCATCCAACTGACAAAATTGAGACATCCGGTTTACAGCGAACATTGCGTCAATCTGATAAAAGTCAGAAGACGGCACGCGTGTTGCTGTCCGCTTGACCTCGCATACGGGACAACTGATCTGAATATGTTATCGCGCGCAAAACAGGAACGGGGTGCTACGTCTATGCCTACGCGCACTTGAAAAACATGCCAATCAGACTATACGAAAGGTACTTCGTCACGACGCATAGCGACCAATACAAATTTAGAAGCTTTGACGACACTGCCTATCTTTTATGCATTTTAGAGGTCAGGGGCCAGGCTACATCTGGGTTAGAAAAGGCCGTGTCCTAGGAGGCTACGGCTTCAAATTACACACACGCCTATGGAAGCGGCGGCAGCCACTACCCATAGACCGTGTGTTATTTGAGCCGCAGCCAAGTAAGTCAGACACGGCAATATTTTCGTGTCACTTTTCTCTTACATTATTAGTCAGGCAGATCGGTGCACAATATGATGGAATTGTTCATTTGACGATAAAAGCATGAAATTTGGCACACAGCCAGAGTATATAATGGGAAAGATATTTGGCTATAGGGCCATCGCAGATTTGTCGCTTGAAAAAATATTATAGGGTAGTATGCAATGGCCGCCATTTGGAAAATTTTGAAAATTGCTTGTTAAGCACTGTTAAACAGTATACATTTTGCGAATCCTTGTGTAAATTCCTGTATTTATTAGACACGGTAGAGACGGCATGTGTTTTACGCCCGATGCACCGAGACTATATTCAAAGTTCCTAAAGTGGCAAACGACTACTTTTTATTACATACTTTCAAAGAACACAGTCTTGAACCCGAGAGATTGATTTCCATACACCAAACCTCGATGGGCCTAAATTGAGTTTGCCGAAGTGCTAGCATTATATTTCACGGAGTCAAACGTTAAAGTAGGCCAACCCTAGGAGACATAGCTCAGCATGTACAACCATCAACAAAACCCATCGCGTGTGTCTGAATATGGCTTTTCGAAGCTCCGTTGTCGTCCCCGGCTTTGCCTCCGATCCGGCTCCGACTTCGACGCCAAAAGATTTAAGGCCCCTGACTAGGGGGGGGGGGGACGTTTCAGTAAAAATAGGTCCATGTTCAGCTTTAGACAGATCGAATAATTTAGTCTATATGAAGTAAAAGAGTTGAAACCACAGCCATTAGAAAGCCAATGTTTCGAAAATGCCCATACATGCAGTTTTGGCGTCTTCGGTCCGTTATTGCGCCGCTGCTGTCGTCTAGCGCCCGCCTCGCATTTGTTCTGATCTTGGCGCTACATTAATGTGCAAAGTTGAGTTTCAATACAGCTGACGCGCTGCGTTGCTCATGAGTGGATTCTTTCAGTAATTGGCCTTCGGTTCGTATTTGGGTCCGAGTTGTCGCTTTCATTCACGCACTGGCTCTATAAATCTGTTGAACTCATCCAATGTAATTCTCTCCGTATGGGCCTTCGGTTCGAATTTCGGCCCACGTTGCCGCAGCGTTCAGTACCTGTAATCCCTTACAACAGAATCCATTAATTATCAAGTTTTCTCGGAACCAGATTAATCTGTATGAGGTCTTACTGCGTTTTTGTTTTGTTGTTGCAGAATTGTTTTGCTGTAGAGTTATGAAGTTGCCATGACAGTTGCCTACTAAAATTAGAATCGAAATTGAAAGAAAAACATTGAAACGAGGGGCTGTGTTGTTGGTTTTACGTAAACATTTTGGTGCTTTCCTTTTCTAAAATTGTTGATTTAAAACAAAATCTCACAGTATAAAGTATTCTAAGCAGGTCAGATAAATTTCAACGAAAAAATGTGGGTTTTTTTAAGTTGTAAAAAAATTAATAAGAGACCAGATATGGAAAGCAAAACTACGGGATTTAAAAACAAAACCGGACAATTTCCAACTGGCTCCATCTTGGCTCTGCTGGATTTTAACTGCGCCACAAAGATAAATATTTGGTCCCAGACGACCAAACCAGAGACAGCATTCTCGTAAATTTAACAAGGTTTGCAAACAATCATACACAGTAATCTTAATATCCCATCCGTCGGTTTTGAAAAAAAAGGTGGAAAAGCTGACCTTTAAATTGAGCGTGGATGAAATACGTAACTATTGAAGCAAACGAATGCACAGTGATAAAAATACACCAAATGCTTTAATCAAAGTAGTAACGTGATCACTCTTCGACTGTGCAATCAAGAGTACAACGGTATGGCTTGTCATTCAACATGTCGCACACGCTCAATTTGCGTGTGTTCTTTCGTTAAAGGCGACAACACAGCCACTAGGGGCTTCCGTAAGATGCGATCAGTCCCCAACCGAAGCCCCCTAACTGTCGCCGCGTGCGATTGGCCGCCAGTCACGCCTTCAGCGATTCCTCGACCAATAGCGGCTCTCCTTACCCGCCTGACCTTTTAGAGCGCACTTCATTGTATTGCCTCGGGTTTTGTTGGCGTTGTGCGCCGTTCATGAAAAGTATATATCTTTCTCTCCCAGGCTCTCCCTCGACCCACCTTTATTCCGATTGCGAGCACGACTCATTCACGGCCACGGCTGTAGAATAACCATAGCCAGCGCATGACAAAAAGAAAAGCATTGACGCACTCTCGGCTGCAATTGAAAACCCAGAGGTATTTCAAGCCGACAGAGCGTGCAACGCAGTGGCTTGTACAAAACAGCTCAGCCTCGCAGCCAAGTTGCAGTAGCCCTGTTTGTTTGCCTCGCTAACGAAGCCGTGCAGGAATATTTCTCCACTGGTTCACAAAAAGATGCCTGTTTTCTCCTCTTATTTTTACAGATCAAGTTGCTGGAAAGACCTGTCTTGCACGTGCCAGCTGGGGCACCTGATTTCTAAGACGGAAATTGCCAATTGTAGATGGTGTGCTGCCGACGACCGCAGAGAATCAACTTGTTTTCGGGCGAGGAGACTGCTGAGCGAGTAACGCCTGGAGGAGAGTCTAATGGGCTCGTGGAAGACCATAGAGTTAGCCTCTGACGAGCCTGCAACATCACATGGGCGTTAGACTCGCGGAGGAAATTCAGACCGCTCACGCGCATGTGCCTTTAGGTCACCCCACATATCGGTGTGTGTGTGTGTGTGTGTGTGTCAGTGAGTCCACCTGTGACAGCATTGAAGAGACGAAGTTCATTGCTTCTACTCCCAATCTTATAGTGTAGAAACGCACAACGGGGCCGGCAGCTTTTTAAACCAAGCGTGTTGGGAGTCGACGTTTGAATTTCACAACAGAAATACACCTGTTCACTCTGCAGTGGGACGAACTCGGAATCATTATGGGTATATACTTTGAGACGTCAGACATGCACTGCCGTGTTGTCATAACCGTGTTACCTGAGCACGGCTAATTGAAATCGACAAATGAAACGGATGGTGAGAACCTCGGCCGCGCGCGGTTGACAAAACAAGCGACGCAAACCCAGAGCCCTTGCACCTGAGCTGGTCAAGTGCAGTGTGACTGCAGCTGAAGTACCTTCAAGTGAATGTTGACGTTCTTGGTAGTCCTATAACGAACACACTGTCATCTTGACTAGAAGTTGACATCTGTGAATTCTTCTTCGCAGACATCAAGGACCTGCTTGTATTTTTGAGAGGCATCGTTGTCGACTCATCTCATCAACTTTGCGTGGCTGCGTCGCACGAGTAGAAAGCAACAACCCGTGGGCGTGTCTTGGAGATTTCATTTCTGGAGCGCTTACCATTAATTCGAATGTTTATAACATTTTTCACTGTGTCATTGCAGAAAGTTGCAACATCCAAACAGTCTTTTTGAGTAAAGATGCCCACTGAACGGCAGTCATCAAAGGACGCCTCATCCTAAATGTGTTGCAGCTTGGCTCGTGCATCTACCGGCAGTTTTTGTGTGTTCCTACTTCCGCTAGACTAAAGCGTTCCCTTTTTTACTCACCGAAGGCGGGTGAAAGTCTGTACTGCAAGATCGCCTTACGTGACAAGTGGCTTGTTCACAGTCGGACCGGAGTGAAGGGTCCTCCACCATGCATCCAGCCGGGCTGTACGTGCTGTCTCTCGGGGCACTGGTCCTCGTGTTCCTCGCTCAGCAAACGGTGAGTCAACCCATCTAAATTTCAATGAAATATTAATTGCCCACCGAACTTACTTTTATTATTTTTTCAAATGTCGACTAATCACCTGTCTGTCGAAAGAATTGAATATCAAAGCCTGGAATAAAATTCAAATTTGAAAAATGAACAAAACCTCTCAAGAACAAAATCTTTTTTTTTTGTAAAACCTATATCGTTACTGTTCTTCAGGACTTTTATGCTAGAAATGATTCTTAATTTGACAGGTGTAGTTTATTTGTGAGCATTTTTATCCTGAACGGCCTAACGAGTTTAATTTTGAGATGTGAGTTCTGGAAAAAATGTCGTTGTCAATAATAATATTATAAATAGAGCACATTCTTGTGAAGATGCCTGACTTATTTTTCCACGCTTTGAGTAACGTCTTTTGGAACTATTACCCCATTGGATTTGGTTAGTCGTACGCGTGGGCAGCGAGAAGTGACACCATCAAAACAGCGTTGCGTATCACCACGAGAACATATTTTTTTTATGGAAGGAAATTTAAAATTGTTGTAAATTGTCCTGCTTAAGGACTTGGGAATGATGTATGGGCAGACTCGAGATTCCCCCTCAACTAAAAAAAAGTTAATATTGTCAAAAGTTGGTAATATATCTTTCCTGCCCGATAGATTATCGGGCACATTGCAATACATTTACGTCGAGAGTCAAATTACCAGGAATAAATACCGAAATATTTTCGACCTTAAGACTTTTAGCCCAAGATACTTTAAGCTCATCTGCATTGCCAATCATAACCCATCCAGATGATGCGTTTAGCAAGCTGCATGTATAGCGATTATACTGAAGGGCTTTCGCAAAAGAAAAACCTTCCAGGAATTTCTTTTGACTCCTGCCGAAAACGGAAGCGGCCCGTACAAGCATAACGGTCACTATGCACAAATTAGAATAACAATTTACACGGGATAAGGTCAGATTCGAAAGCATGATATTCACGCTCACCCGCGCCAAGTTTACCTTGCGGTTTTTGCGGACAAACGACGTGCTCAATTATCAGTACTCTCGTGCTCGTGACGGAGCAATAATAAGATCTTCTAAAAATACATTTATCCTGAGGAGATCTTCCAATATTAGCTGTAGCCCACAGGCCTACGTAGGCGATGAATACCTCTTTGTGTCCTTGTCTATTTTAAACAAGTGTTTTCGCGATGTTTTCGGCGCGAATGGAGAAAACATATTTTGGGAAATTGTTGAAGCAAAATATCCACACAAAAACGAAATTTGTCAAGTTGATTGTAAATTTTCTTCCCCCCCCCCCTCGCAATTCTTCATTTGCAACGCAGCGTTGATGAAATACGCGTTTAAGAGTACGAAAGAAGAGAGAAACATTAGTGACTCAATATCGATGACCGGTACTTAAAGTGCGTTCTGGTTTCGTAATATAATTTGTAGATTTTACAGCGCGGTATCATAATGATACCGCTATTACAGTTGCGCTCTTTGTTTTTTCCGGCCGATAAATTTGTTTGATTTGAAACACAGTAAAATCTTGATAAGTCAAAACCGGTCAACTCGAAAACCTGGTTAACTCGAAGTAAAAATGTATTCCCGTCAAAAGAGAGTTAAATCTTTAATGTATTTAAGGCCGTTCCTATACCTTGATGAAAACCAGCGTGTTTCTGTACTTGGTTTACGAGCGCGTAGAGCCAGAGTGGACAGGTTCCCCGACATGGGGAGTGACTGGGGCAGCTCTCGGAGAAAAAGGCAAGAAAAGGAAACTATCTGCATGGTTTTTTTACGAGTCATAGGGGGAGCTCGCAGATTTCGTAGGGCAATACGGAAACAAGCAATAACGTCAGAGTTCATAATGGTGATACGGATTGGATGATATATTTATTGGGTTGAGTTTTACGGTGGACTCCCAGCGGCTTACTTCGCCATGGTACATTTGCGTACACCCCTCTTCAGTTTCGTACGGTGTTTAGTTTCGTACGGTGAAACACTCTTGTTTAGAAGTGTTTCTCATGTTTAGAATTGTTTCAATACATTGTTTCAGGCATGTGATATCCATTTACTTTTCATTTTATTTTAAATATGTAGACATTTAGTTAAAGGATTCAATCTAAAAATGTAAGCGGGGATGTCACGGAATGAACAAAAGAATAAAAACTATCATCAGATGATGTGTTCATCGATATATCTGTATTGCAGGACTACTATAGAGCTACAGAATATAATTAACCCTAACTGCCCTGAAAGCTACAAAATACTACTGAGTAGTAACCTGTAGTGTGCATTTCTTTCCATACAGGTGTGCACAACACAATCCATGTAGTACTCTGTAGTATTTGGTACTTGACCCCCTATAAGAGCCCTTTAATAGTCCTGTCAGTTAGCACTTGTTGACGACACAACTTTTTTAAAGCCGTTTAACTTAAAGCATTATTGTCAACAGCCTAGTGTCAGTTTGTACCTACCTCATTGCATGTCACTGGTAACCTAAGCCTGGTTGTAGAGTGGTAGTGGGAACCGGGCAGTGCTATAGTATAGGATTATTCCATAACGCTATTTCCTATCATTGTGTAGACCAGATGCATGAAAAGACTTCTAGTGAATAGCCGTTCTGAATATCGCGGTAGAATTGCGTTAGAATCGCGTCAACGCAGCTTGTGCAATATTGTCCAATATACAAATCACGGAACGCGCAAAATCGGAGACAAACAAAACTTAGTGTACAAAACTTCCATAGGGTTGTCTAAGGGGCGTGGCTAATTTGCAAACGGCGATAGGTCAATTGAAAATAATGTGTTCGCTCTGGGCCTGTCTTGTTATTTTTTTTTCCAGTTAGTCCACCACTGAAAAACATCAGCCATTTTCTTTGCATCTTCCGCCCACAGCAGTTCTACGTCTCAGAGAAGAAGAAAGTGCATGACGACCTCTCGTTATAATTATTTCCTCCTATACCCTGATTTTAAATTAATAGTAAAGAAACCGGTAATGGTCTGAAGGAACGTAGCACCAAATGAGGTCAGCATTCACTTAGCGACTGACCAGTGCGGTTTAGCGAACTCGTACATTAGCACGTTCAATTTGGTTTACCTGAATTACCGACGACATACTTCGGTTGCATTTAGCCAAATTCCATGTCACTTTTCATTCCCTCTGCGATTCAAGGAACAAGTTCAGTATCCGGAGGTTTGTGGTTTTTGTTTGTGTCTGCTGCATTTAGAGGGCGTGCGTACGGACTGCGGGTGGGTGATGGAACAACGTAATGACTTGTGACAGAAATCGGTTTGTTCGACGTTTCGAGTAGAATGTCCTGACCTTCTTCATAGAGCCGGATATAATAATTGCTAGTAGGATCAGTTGACACAAAAATAAATTCCATGAATAGGCCTATCTCAATATTTTATTGAACATGAAACAAGAAACGCGGTAACGACTAATTTCCAGTGTGCCATATATTTACATTTGGCTTGTATTTTGGCATGTTGCCAAAAAGTATACCTTTCGGATTGTTCTCTTGGCAATCTGCCAAGATAATATCTACGGCGACTTATTGTATTTGGTGTCTGAAAAGGTTCATGCTATATTTGCTAATACTAACGGTGTTTCTTCTGATTGTATTATTGGCAGACTACCAAAAAGTACTTCAATAATATTAACGGAGACTAAAACCAGGTTCATACTCGGCGCGAAAGCAAAAGCGAACGCGAATTTGTGACGTTATGGCACGTATTCGCGCTGCGAATTTGTAAAAGTTGAACATATTTCAACTCGGGCGAATTTCGCAGTGAATGTTTTACTGACTTCAAATTCGCTTTGCATTCGCTTTCGCATGAAGTATGAACCGGGCTTTATGGTATTTGACGTCTAAAAATGTCCACTTGGAATATTGCTGTGCCTTTCTAATAATAAGGAGTGCCAGGTATATTTGCTTCCGCTACAGCATCCAGTTTGAGGTCATTTATCTCCGAATGTTGAGGTATATTCGGTCTCAACCTGGCAATGACTCAATCTGGCACCTGGGATGCTGATCGTAGATAGGTCCCTGGAGCTGACAGCGTATCAGCCGCTGATCATAGTTAATCGCTTCGGACGCCGACGACAAAGTGCCCGTCAGCGTAGGCGAATGTATCACGGTCCTCTCTTGCGTCTATGTGATATGTGAGCACAAGTAGGCGTCACTGCGCGGTGAGAGAAGATGCAGTTAAAGGCGGACTGCAAGAACAGTTGGGCGTTTACCAAATCTTGGCTTTTTGTAGGAGTTTTAGAGTGTATGTTGGATGGTTGTGGAGTGTATTGGGGAATATGAAGCTTTCTGGTTCCAGTTTACGTACACGGTTTACCGACCGTCAGTTAAAACTTTAAAAAGTTAGTTTATAACAAAATGAAAGTTCAAGATCAAGAACTCCTTTATTTTTTCCTGCTCACCCTATTTGGAAGGTTTTGGCACTGGAGACCGGTGATGTGTAGATCATGCTCCGTGCATTTCCGTATGAAAACGTTTACTAGACACTTTGTGACATTTTGTCACTCTTTATGATCAGGGTTAGTCTCAGGTTTCTGTTACCAACTGACCAGGGGCCGTTACATTTCGTATCAGGTCACGCTTTTAATCCAAATAGACGGAGGAACAGTGTCCTCTGAGCGTTATGACGGACCACTGTCAGCGACACCAATGTAAATCCTGCCAGCGCATTCTCGTCGATGGTGTTGACTGCTGGTAAGGCGACTACATAATATAAGGGTGGATGTGTTTGCCGTTAGGATTTCTTCTATTTGTTTGATGGTTACATTCTTACCTGCTAGGTAATCCAAATAGAAAACGATACCCGTATCCCGGGGTGTTGAGACAGCGAGCAGCAGTGATCCTTGCGGAGGTGTGAGGGCCGCTGGGGCATTTTGACGGTTGTTAGTGCCGAGAACACGCGTGATTTGGTTGAATGATGACAACGGATAATGTTGTTCGGCCACATTGTCAGTAAGTAGGGGTTCGTTTAAAGCATCTCAACCGCGGG